TAGGACTGGAGTTCAAGGGCCTGGGGTTCACTGTCCCCGTGCTCCTGCCGGGAACTGCCTGCCTCAGTGCCCCCAGCCTGCTCTTGAGAGGTAGGCTGGGAGGAGCTTCGAAGCGGGGGGGGGGGGGCGGAGATGAATGTGCTTTGGTGGAGCCCAGAGTTGGGCTGTTGGGCAGGTTGTGCTGCTGCTGGGAAGCGGGGTGCTGGCTCCATTGTGAGACTGTGTGAGGGTGTGTTTGTGTTTGGTGTGTGCCGGACCTCACTTCCTGTGTTTGAATTCGGTTTGGGAGGAACAGAAACCATGTAACTGCTGTAAGTAGTATGCGTATTATGTCGAATGTGTAATTGGAGTGTGGATATGTGCATCGATGAGTATTTTATGGTGATGTGTTGTAGACATTGATGGATTTTGAATGTTGATATGTGTGGGGAGCATGTGTGTGCTGGGCTGTGGGAAGCACTGTGTATTGTGGAGGATAGTATATATATTGTGGTATTGGTATGTCTGTATTAGGGTACGTATGTTTGGAAGAGACAGGTGTTGGGCTGTGGGAATGTGGGGTTAGTATAAGGGAGATCTGTGTGTTTCAGGGTTCCTGTGCATTGGGGGAATCCTGTGGGTTAATGTAAATAATGTGGGTTTTTGCTTAGCCATTCCACAAATATTTACTGAGGGTATATTACATGCTTGATACTCTGCTAGGTGCTGAGGATATAATGGTGAGCAGAAGTGGGTATGATTCTTCTACTCTTGTAACTTACAGTTTATTTGGGGGGCAGAGTGAAAGGAGTGGGGAATAGGGAGTGTGCTCTGGGCGTGGATGGATATGTGTGGGGGTATCTTTGAGGGTGTATCTTTGGGGTTAAGGGTATTTGAGTGTGCATTTGTAGATGGGGGTGTTGGGAGAGTACATGTGCTGGAAGGAAGACTGGATAGATTGCGGGTGTGGGTGTGGACATGGTTTTGGGGTGTGGGGGGTTGGGCGTGTGACTATGTAGTGAGGGTGTGTGGCCAGTGTGGAAATGTGGGAGAGTGCGTGTGTGTGTGAGGGGTGTGACAGAAGTGTGTTCGAGGGTAAGTAGGGTGTTTCAGTGGGGCTGCTTGTGGCGGTGCTTGCATGTGAGCGAACATGGCAGGCTGGAAGATATGTCAGGGGTTGGAGGGTTAGGGGTCCATGTCTTATGCGTTGGGAGGCTTCTGGGGAACAGCAGCGTTTGACAACTGCTGGAGCTGTGCAGAGCATCTCCTGTGACCTGAGGATGTGCCAGTCCTGTCCTGGTACCACTTGGGGTGGGCTCTCTGTCCCCACTGCTCCATCCACTCCCCCCACACGGCAACACGGCTCCTGGGATGGGCATGGCTGAGAAGGGCCTGGACACAGGGTGCCCTGGGTGAAAGCTGGAGCCATGGCTCCAAGGCTCCTGCCCTGCTTCTCCTCTTCCTGATCTGAAGGGCGTCCGCCGAATGACAGGACATGGGAGGGTGCTGTTGGGCTGTGTTCCAAGTCCAGCTGCCATCTCTTCTTCCTGGTGTCCTGTTAATAAACACAGCGGGCCTCAGCTACCTCTGTGAATCAAAGCAAAGTCACTGCTGGCCACCTGGAGCCTGCAGAAAGCTGGCCTTGATGGAGGGGCGAGGGGAAGGTGTTTGCTCAGGGGGTAACTTGGGACCCAAGCTGCCTGCTTTATGAACCCCCAACCTCTCTGATATATACCAGTGTATTCATGTACACACACCTGTACCTAGCGTTCCTTTGCTGCTTCTCTCCTGGCCTACTGAACCGTGGGGTGGTCTGGGAGCCCCAGAGATGGCCAGGTGGCTGGTTTTGGCATCCTCTGCCTGTGGTGCGTGAAGCTGGGCCCTGGGTGGCAGGTGGGGGGGGGGGGAGGATGGTCCTTGGAGCTGGCTGGGGCTGGGCTTACCAGCTCCACCTCCTGCAGGCTCTGAAGCGGAAGCCAGACCTGTTCCTGTGTGAACGGTTGGATGTCAAAGCCGTGTTCCAGTGCGGTAAGTGGGGCCAGCTGCACAAGTGGGCCTGGGGCCCCCTTGGGAGGATCCTTAGGCCCCATCTGATCTGCCTCTGCCTCTCCCACAGCTGTGCTGGCCCTCAAGTTCCCTGAGGCACCTACTGTCAAGGCCTCCTGTGGCTTCTTTGTGAGTGCCATGCTGACCCCTGACCCCACCACCTCTGTACCCAGCCCTGCCCTGCCCAGGACTCCAGAGGGTAGGGGTGTGGTACACAGGTCTTGTCTCCAGGATGAGGGTGGAGGGAACTGGGGCTGACAGGACTCTCCATCCTCTGCAGACAGAGCTACTGCCTCGATGTGGGGAAGTAGAACCCGTGGGAAAGGTAGTACAGGAGGACGGCCGTGTGCTGCTCATAGCAGTGCTGGAGGTGAGCTGGAGTGGGTGTGGCGGCTGCCCTTTTGGGAACCCTGAGCCTTTGCTTCCCTAAGCTCTCTGACTCTGTTTCTTCCTTATTTAAATGTCTGAAAGTTTTAAGAGTTTCCGTGAGGATCCGCTGGCTCTCAAAAAGCAGCATTCACTTATCTTACACAGTTTGGCTGAGGAACTGTCTGAGGGGGGTGGTGCGTGGCTTGGCACCTTTGCCGCAGAAGGGGAAAGGCCTATACACTGAGAACCCGTCTTCCTCAGGCCATTGGGGGCCAGGCCTCCCGCAGCCTCATGGACTGCTTTGCCGACATCCTGTTTGCTCTGAACAAACACTGCTTCAGCCTCCTGAGCATGTGGATCAAGGAGGCACTGCAGCCACCCGGTTTTCCCTCTGCCCGCCTCAGCCCTGAACAGAAGGACACCTTCAGCCAGCAGATCCTTCGGTGAGCAGAGCTGATGGGGCCTGGGCTCAGGTCTGGGAGAGGAGGTAGTGGTGGATGGTGCTAACTTGCTCTCCCTTTTCTCCTTCAGCGAGCGAGTGAACAAGAGGCGGGTAAAGGAGATGGTGAAGGAGTTCACACTGCTGTGCCGGGGGCTACATGGCACAGATTACACAGCTGACTACTGAGGGGCGTTCCTGTCCCACCCGCACCTCCTCACTCCTCCCTGTACCCAAAGAGTAAACCTGGACCCTCACTTCACTGTTGTCTCTGCTTCCTTTCTGCTGCCCCTACCACTTAACTGGGTGACCGCGGAAGGCCTGGGGGAAGGATGGAAGGATGCTTGGACCCAGGCCTTGGTAGGGAGTGGTGGAGCCAACCTCTAGCTCCTAGGGTGGAAGGAGCACTGCTGGAGCCAGCTGCTCCTAGGTTGCAGCCATTCAGGGCACTGCCTTTGCCCTTGGCATGGGGTGGGGACTGCAGCAGTATCAGCGCCCATCCCCTTTAAATTAGTCCTGGTGCTCATGAATGCATACATTTACTTAATCAACAGTGTTGAGTACTGGGCTCCTAGTTCTGCTTTGCCTTGTTCTGTCTAAACAAAGGCTGATCTAGTCCGTAGCTGCCATGCTAAGCTGGGAGAATGGGACCACTGAAGGAAGGCTGAAGAAATGGAGGAAGCTTCATTTCTGATGGGAATGGGAGGCTTCTGAGGTAGAGGACTTGGGACTTAGGCTGGAGGTCAGGTGAGGCTGGGTCCACTTGGGAGGGAAGAACTGGAGAATGGCTTTGTGTTCCACGGTAGGCTTCTGGTGTTGGGTAATGGAGGCAGCCAAACTTGCACATGGTTGGGAAGAGATGTAGAAAGTGGAAATGAGCGTGTGTGGAAGGAGGTATTGTAGACCGCAGTGGAAGAGGAAGACAGGACCTAGCGTTGTCTGTGTACCTGAGACTCACCCACTCTGCGGTACGTGCCCAGCCGGCCGTGGTCAGGGCTTCGTCAGCACCAGGGACAGCTCCTTCCTGTGGCTCTCCTCCTTTTGCAGGGTTCCCTTTCTGTCAGTCAAAGTTCCACCTTGGGGGGGCCCCTCAGGCACCACAGTCTCCTCCTCTGTAAGGTCTGAGGAACAGGTCTGGGTTCTCCCCACTCCCTTCCATGAGCCTGAGTCTCCTCAGAGGTGATAGAACTAGTTACTTTTAGATTCGTCCCCTTCCCCTACTCTTTTCCCCAACTTTGCACAAATTCTGTGTCCATTCTTCATTCTTGCTCTCTCTTTTTCCATGCCAGCCTTTCCTGTGCCATCCCCTGAGGCCATCCCGTCCCCTCTCCCCTACCCCTTTCTCACCTTACTCTTGATTTCTCACTTAGTTCTCTTTCCCTACTACATGCTATCAAGTGTCTTCTTGCTCTGCTGCTGCTGCTCCCCCATGGCCAATGTAGCACATATAAGTTAGGAGAATGAGAAGTCAAAAAGCCCAGCTTCTGAAATCAGACCTGGGTTTGGTACTGATTGTGCCACTAACTTGCTGTATCTTATTAGACTGGCGTAGCTTCTTTGAAACTCAGTTTCCTCACCTGTAAATTGGGACAATTCTTACTTCGAAGACTGTAAACTCTAAGAATGTAGTGCCTGGTGAACAGTAAGTGCTCAATGTTTGCCTCATTGACCGACTGTGAGGATAATAGCAATGCTTTTAGCTCATGTGATATGCGAAGGACTACTTTGTAAAGTTTTATGTCTGAATTGTTTTGAATCAACAATCCTATTAGGAGTGCTATTGCTACAAGCCCGATTCTGCGGGTAAGGAAACAGCCATGGAGACGCTGGAGCTGCTCAAGCTGCAGTAGTTATTTTCTGGGAGTGGGTGTTTCTGAGGGCGGGCAGCGGGCCAAACTCAAAAACTCCCAGCGGCTGGAAAGGAGGGCCCGAGGAACTACAACACCCATAAGGCTCCGCGCCTCCTCCTGAAGCACTTCCGATTGGCCTTGGGCTCTGAGGCTGACCATTGGTTGTGGGCGGTTTGGTGGCGAGGATTGGAGGGCGGGAGCCGTGCTGGTCTAAGATTGGTACAATTGCTATCAGGCCTGCCTTAAAAACCCGGAAGTAATATCTCCGGTTGGCTCACGTGTGGTGGCTATTTACCAGTTTGGCTTGTGGAGGGCTAGCATCCGCGTTGTGGACCGGTCCCTCACTCCTCTCCCTCACCAAGCGACTCTGACCCACTGAAGGCCGCTTTTGAGGACACGAGGACGGGGGAGGACACGAGGACGGGGGAGGTCCCCGCTGCCTCCCGCCACCTAAGCCGTGCTTCATGGAGTCTACATTCAGCAGCCCCGCCGAGGCGGCACTGCAGCGGGAGGCGGGGGCCGCGGGGCTGCTCACTCCTCTTGCGGACCTGGACCGAGTATACGAGCTGCAGCGAGTCGTGGGATTTGTCCGCGACCTGGGGTGTGAACGGGTGAGGGCAGGCTAGGAAGGAGTGGCTTACCTTTCTGGGGGTGGGTCTCCCAGAGGATCAGGATCTTGGGGTAATTCTGTGAGGATGGCGGTGTAGGGGAGGTGCCCCTCTGGGATGAGGGGCTTTGAAGGTTGGTTGGGTAGGGACTCTGGAAAGATTTTCCTTGAAGAAACCCCAGGTGAAAGAGGCCGTTTCTGACTACGTGATTTATGCTTACAGGTGGCTTTGCAGTTCCCTGACCAACTATTGGGAGATGCTGGGGTTGTGGCTGCACGACTGGAGGAGACCTCGGGGTCAAAGATGTTCATTCTGGGAGACACGGCCTATGGCAGGTGTGAACTTGAGCTTAAGGGTGGAGCATAGGGTAGACCTAGGGATGCAGGGTTTGTGGTGTTTCCCCTCTGTAACAGGGTACCTGCCCCTAATGGCTGCGTTTCTCTTTGATGATGACTGGCTTCCTGATACTAGCTTTTCTCAATGACAGTGTCTTTCCATGACATTTTTTTTTATGGCCACATTTCCCATCAATGACGGCAACGCTTCCTGATGAAACCCCTTTCACTAACGGTTCTCCCCTACAGCTGCTGTGTGGATGTGCTGGGTGCTGAGCAGGCTGGAGCTCAGGCCCTTGTACACTTTGGCCCTGCCTGCTTAAGCCCTCCAGCCCGCCCACTGCCTGTGGCCTTCGTCTTTGGTCAGCGTTCTGTGGCCTTGGAGCTCTGCGCCAAAGCCTTTGAGGCCCAGAACCCAGACCCGGCATGTCCGGTGGTGTTGCTGAGTGAGCCGGCCTGCGCCCATGCCCTGGGTGAGGAGTTTTGCCTGTGCTTGCAGGGAGGGTGGGTCAACTACTCTGTGCCTTATTTCCCCATAGAGAGCTCCCATTAGGGCCTTTACCCCAGCTTTTGCTCTTCTTCTTCTTCTTTTTTTTTTTTAAATTGTATTTTTTTGCCTTTGATTTTGTGTCACACTTGGTCTTCTGGGGAGTAGGGGAGCTCTTGCCTTGCCAGGCCCCAACCCTGACACTACCTTCTTCTTCCAGAGGCATTGGCCACTCTACTGCGCCCGCGGTACCCGGACCTGCTTGTCTCCAGCCCAGCTCTTCCCCTGCCAGAGGGCTCCCTCAGTGCAGGGGCTCCTGAGCCCCTGGAGCGTTTTGGGCGTCGCTTCCCCCTGGCCCCAGGGAGGTGTTTGGAAGAGTATGGGGCTTTCTATGTGGGAGGCTCTGGGGCCAGCTACGACCCTGACCTCGACCCTGACCTGAGCCGGCTGCTCTTAGGTTGGGCACCAGAGCGGCCCTTCTTCTCCTGCTGCCCAGACACTGGGAGGACTCACGATGAAGGCGCCCGGGCTGGGCGGCTAAGGGCACGTAGACGATACCTGGTTGAGAGGGCCAGAGATGCTCATGTGGTGGGGCTGCTGGTGGGCACATTGGGAGTGGCCCGACACCGTGAGGCCTTGGCACACTTGCGGAACCTGACGCAGGCTGCTGGCAAGCGTAGCTATGTGTTAGCCCTGGGGCGGCCCACACCTCCCAAGCTTGCTAACTTCCCTGAGGTAGATGTCTTTGTGCTGTTGGCCTGTCCTCTTGGTGCCCTGGCTCCTCAGCCTTCTGGTAGTTTCTTCCGGCCTGTATTGTCACCGTGTGAGCTGGAGGCTGCCTGCAACCCTGCCTGGCCGTCTCCAGGCCTGGCTCCCCACCTCACACACTACGCGGACTTACTGCCTGGTGAGTGGTGGGGCACTGCCTGAGCTGGAAACACTTGGGGCATGGAATCAGGAGCCGGTATGTATCAACTTTCTCCCTCCTAGGCTCTCCTTTCCACGTGCCCCTCCCACCACCTGAGTCGGAACTGTGGGACATCCCAGATGTGTCACTCATTACTGGGGAGCTCCGACCCCCACCTTTCCGGAAACCATCAAATGATCCTGGATGCTCAGCCTTGACCCCGCGACCTCAGCTGGAGCTGATTGAGAGCAGCCCTGCAGGTAAGTGTGCCAAGTCTCCACTGCCATCCACACTCATTCCCCAGATTCAGCCCACTCAGCTTCAGTCCCCTCCCTTTGCAGCTGCATTCCTGTGTTCCCGGAGCTGGCAAGGGCTGCAGCCTCACCTGGGTCAGACACCAGTGACAGGAGCCGTGAGTGGAAGAAGAGGAATTGCCATCGCCTATGAGGATGAGGGAAGCAGCTGATATCATGCGGGTCCAGACACACAGATGGAGTTAAGAATCACTGCTCACCATTTCAGTCCTGGGCACTTCAGGAGCTGTGGGCTTCGGTGTAGATATTGCCAAACCTAAGAACCACACCATGCACAACCAGTCCTGAAAACGGCACAGAAATGACATCAAGAAACCCTGATCACAAAGATAGGAATTTCTTAAGGGAGTAAACCCCGAGTTCCCGAGGAACATGCACTTTCCCAAGAAGCACAACAAGAAGGGCCTGAAGAAGGTGCAGGTCAACAATCCCAAAGCCATGAGCGCATGTGCTGAGGCTGTCAAGGCTCTCGTAAAGGCCAAGGAGGTCAAGCCCAACATCCCAAAACATGATAGCCGCAAGCTAAGTTGACTTGCCTACATTGCTTGCTCCAAGGTTGGAAAACATGCTCATGCCCACATTGTCAAGGGTCTCAGGCTCTGCTGGCCAATGTCCAAGGCCAAGGCTCAAACAAAGCCTCAGGCTGTGGCTCAGGCTCCTTAAAGGTGCCCAGGCCCCCACGGAGGCTCCACCCACAATAGAGGCCTCTGTCTGCCTACGTGTGGATGGAAGAACCGGAGTGACCCCTTGGCTTCTGTCTCCATGGAGCTGGTGACCTATGCTATTTGTACAAATAAACCAGAGGCAGGATCTGTAAAAAAAAAAAAAAAGAAAAAATCACTGCTAAGACTTTTCAGCACTCCATGTAGTGACCTCACACCTCTACCAGGATCCTTAAAAGAGCCTTGAAATAGGGCAGACAGCCCGTCACTGAAGATAGGATCCAGCTCTGTCCTCTCCTGGCATGGCATAAAGCTTAGCACATACTGGCTTAGTAAATGTGGAGGGTTTCTCAACCTTGGTACAGCTGACATTTTAGACCAGATAAATCTTTGTTGTGAGGGGCTGTTCTGTAAATTGTAGCACGTTCAGCATCATCCCTGGTTTCTGCCCACTAGATGCCAGTAGCATACCTTTTCCCAATTGTGATAATCAAAAATGTCTCCAGACGTTTACAAATGTGCCTTGTGGGGGCAACATTGCCCCAAGTTGAGAACCGCTGGGCTACACTTGTGCTGTCCAGTATACCGGCCACTAGAAATGTGGCTAACAAACATAGTTTAACTAAGATTAAAAATTCAGTTTCTCGATCATACTAGTCACATTTCACTGTTCAGATAACCACGTAAGAGGGCAGCACAGCTATAGGACATTTCCACTGTCACAGAAAGGTCTGTTGGGCAGTGCTGGTGTGTACTGACTCATTTCTCAGGGAGAGCACAGAAATGATACTTTTAATGATACTTTTAAGCAATAAACCAGATACTTTTTCTTCTGTTTATTTTTCTTCATCAAAAACTGCAGGTCCTACACAGGTCCTGTGAGTGGAAGTTTGAATTGTATTTGATTGGATTCCTGCCCTCAAAATGTAATTTGGAAGAGAGGCAGTTAAATAGGCAATTACCACACAGTGAAACATTGCTCTCTGTGAGGAGGGAAACCCACAGGGACAGCTGGACCCTAAAATAAGCTTCCCAGAGGGAAGATACCTAAGTTGAGTCTCTTGAAAGGAAAAAAAATTATCAGGAGAGAAAGAGTAAAAAGGACATTTGACTAAAGGCTTCATGCTGCTTGAACACACAGGCATGAACCAGCATGGTGGTCGCTTCAAGCAGAGTGGAGTTGTCAGACCCTAAGAGTTGACAGGGCTGAAGTGAAACAACTCACTTCTCTTTTCCTTAAATTTTTTATTGATTGATTTTAGAGAAAGGAAGGGAGAGAGCAAGAAACATCAATTTATTTTTCCATTATTTATGCATTCATTAATTGCTTTTGTGTGCCCTGACAAGATCAAACCTGCAACCTTGGCATATTGGGATGATGATGCTCTAACCAACTGAGTTTCAGCCAGGACCTATAACTTCTTTGATCTCCACGTGTTTTGAGAATCTGGGCATACTGGCATTGTCCAGGTTGTTGAAGAAATAGGTAAACAAGGAGGATATGGTCCCTACCCTTAGCGATTGCCCAGTCTACTGGTAGAGAGAGCTGTAAACTGACCATGGTAACCGCGACAAGGTGGGCACCAAATATGGATTCTACAAACCTTTTTTTACAACCAAAATATTAAATCCTGATTAAGGTGTAAGATACACACACAACATAAATACCTGAAAAAAACAATGAAAAAAGATGCAACTTTAAATATGTTAAAATGTATATCACTATATAGCAAACTCTTACATCAAAATTGGAAGGTATGCCCTGGCTGACTGGATTGAGTACTGGCCTGTGAACCAAAAGGTTGCTGCTTTGATTCCCAATCAGGGTACATGCCTGGGTTTGGGGCTGGGTCCCCAGTAGGGAGGCACGTGAGAAGGAAGATGCAACTGACCAACATATCTCTCGCACATTGATGTTTCTCCCTCCCTTCCTTTCTCTAAAAATAAACCCTTCTGAAAAAATTAAAGAGATCAACCAATTGAGAAGATATATATTGCAATAGTATAAGCATCTTTAAAATATATGCATCGATGTTTGGACATCTCTGAGAGAAAAGTTAAACATAGAGTGCAAAGAAATACGTATGAAATCTGAACAAAGTAAGATATTTAGAAAATGATATGTATGTGTATAAATATATTTGGAAATTCAACACTTACAAAGTGAATAAAATGTTTATAAATAGTATGTAGAAATTAAACACTTTGTAGATGAAAATTCAATTAATACAAATTTCGTCTATCAACTGGAGTTTGAAAGAATAGGAATAATGTTGCTGGTGAGTATATTTTTTTGTGTAAATTTTAATAAAAATCAAAAAATTTCAACATATTAATAAAAACTTTTTTCAATTACAGCTTACATTCAATATTTTGTATTAGTTTCAGGTGTACAGCATAGTGGTTAGACAATCATATACTTTGTCAAGTGTTCCCCCCATACTTCCAGTACCTGCTTCGCATCATACCTAGTTATTACAATATTACTGACTATATTCCCTATGCCGTACTTTATCTCCCCTTGACTATTTTGTAACTATCAATTACAAACATGTATTGAACTCCCACTGTGTGCCAGGCACTGGAAATACAATAGTGAGATCAAGAAATCCTTTCATGGTGCTTACGTTCTCATGGGTGGGGGAGAGATGGACAACAGAAACACTCAGCATGCGAAATAATGGTTAAGTGTTACGGAGAAATATAAAGCTGGGAAAGGAGTGTTAGGGAGGGGTGTCACAGTATTAAACAGGATGGTCAGAGAAAGCCTTTTGAAGAAGGTGAAAGGAGACTGAAAGGGAGTTACAGATTGAGCCACCTGGATAATTTGAAGAAGCAGAGAGAACAAGTGCAAGGCCAGTGCCAGGAGAGTATGACCAGTATGTTCACGGAGTAGCAAGGATGTCAGTGCAGGCAGAGGCGTTAGTAGGTGAGTGGTAGAGGTGGAGTCTGGAGCTTTGGGAGAAACCTAGTAGGCAATTGAAGGGACTATTATGGCTTTGAAAGTGAAATTAAACAGGAGAGTGCAGATCTTGCTGAAGTTTCATAAGGATCACCCGGGCAGAGCGGGGAGCGCAGAGCAGGCACGCTAGCTGGTCTCAGGGTTAGGGAAACCTTCCTGGAGAATGATTTCTTCTTTTTTTTTTAATTTTATTTTTAAATCATGTTTATTCTATTATAGTTGTCTCAATTTTCCCCCCTTTGCTCTTCTCCACCCATCTCACCCGCACCCCCGCTCCCACAGTCAATTTCCACTCTGGCATAATGATTTCTGAGGACCCACAGCGTTAGCCAGACCTTAGGGTGAGTTAAGCAAAGCCCTGCCGGGCAGAGGAAAGCGACTGAAGACGAAAGCAGACACCCTAGCGGAACTGGGAAGGAAGGCAAGGGCGAGGCCCGTGGGATCCGGGGTGGCTCGGGGGCTACGCTCGCGGAGGCCCCGAGCAGGCTCAGGTGTAAAGCAGGTCGGAGAGTCAGAGCTGAGAAGAACCGGCCCTGGAGAGGCAAGAGGGACCGGTGAGAGGCCGAGGTACTTAAAAGGGCGCCGGAGCCTCCTCTGAAGCACAAAACTACAACCACCACAAGTCTCAGCGCCTGGAGTTCCTGCGTCGCCTAGTATTGGAGCGGCGGGGTCGCACGGCCTGGCCCCGGGTCACGTGGTGCCGGCACGTCACGTGGGCGAGTCAGGTGACGGTGCGGGGCGGACAGACTGACTGCGGGGCGGACGGTGGACGCAGGGACGCAGGTTTAGCTCTGTCCCCACCGACCCGTGCCCCGCCGTCGTTGCCGCCATGACGGGACTGGCGCTTCTCTACTCCGGGGTCTTCGTGGCCTTCTGGGCCTGCATGATCGTCGTGGGTGAGGCCGGGCCCTGGCGGGCGGGGCCGGCTTCGGGGCCGAGCTAGCCGGTCTGGAGCCCATCGGGGGACGTGGGGTTCAGGGAATCCTGGGCTCCAGCGCGGGCTCTGCACCCCGGGCTCCGGTACTTGCCTCACGCCTGTCGGGGCTTCTGACCCCGACAGAGGAGACCCGGATCTCCAGCTGTTTGAGGAAGGGTGCGGGCGGGGGTAGGTGGGGTCCGCGGAAGCCGCCCAGGTCGCTTTCTCCTTTCTCCCCTGTGTCGCGGCTGCCGTCCCTCTCTTGCTCCAGAGCCGGCCTCTCTAGTTCCTCTTTTTCTCTAGTCGTTTAGCTCCCCCTCGCTCCCGTCCCCAGCTTGTTGGGTAAACAGCGGCGCCCCCTGGGCTGGCGGGATCCGGTGGAGCCTGGCCAGGGCTCTCCCTCTGCTCCCTTCCTCCAGGGTGTTCAGGCCTGCGAATGCTGCCCGGGAAACGTCTTGGTCTGGGAGGTGGTGTCACTGAGTGAGATGTTACCGGGGGAGTGGCAGAACACGGAGGCCTGAGCCGAGGCATCTGTACAGACAGACGTGCTTTCCCGGCGGGGAGGGGGGTAGGGGCAGCCTGAGAACTGTCCCTTGACTTAGGTGTAGGCAGACCTTTGAGGAGGTAGCCCATCAGTTGGGCATAAACTTCATGTCTAAGTTGGGAGCTCCTCCCTCCTTCCCTCTCTCCCTCCCTCCCTCTCTCTCTCTCTCTCAAGAGCGGCCCCTAACACCTTTTTTTCTTTCACTGCTGCAGGGATTTGCTACACCATTTTTGACTTGGGCTTCCGCTTTGATGTGGCATGGTAAGGGAAGGCAGGGAGAGGCTTCCCCTAGGAGCTGCTTCCCTGCAGCCTGCCTTCCCTCATTTGAGCCCTCTCCTGCACCCCATTCCAGTTGCCCGGGATATGGACCTTTGGAAGACATGAAGTCTTTTGTTGTAGCAGCCAGTGCTGGTGGGGTTGCGGGTGTGGGAAGGTGAATCCACAAATGCTCAATTGCTTTCTTCCCTGTCTCCACACCAGGTTCTTGACAGAGACTTCCCCCTTCATGTGGTCAAACCTGGGCATTGGCCTAGCTATCTCCCTGTCTGTGGTTGGGGCAGCGTGGTGAGTGTTGGGGTGGTGTGATTGGAGGGGGGCGAGTGACTCATAGCAGGTGGTGTCATTGGACCCTTAGTCACCCTGAGGGCACTGACAAGGTTGGCCTCTGCTCATTGGTTTCTTATCCTTCCACCAGGGGTATCTATATTACTGGCTCATCCATCATTGGCGGAGGGGTAAAGGCCCCTAGGATCAAGACCAAGAATCTGGTCAGGTAAGGTAGGGACCTGCTGTCAGAACCGGCGCATTGGGAGCTGCCTGTTTGTGTGACCTGACATTCTCTTCCTGACCAGCGTCCTGATGGGGTGGGATGCTAGTGGGGCACAGGTGGCTGGGGACTGTGTGAGGAGGAAGGTTGGTTTCTTTCTCATCTCTTTGTCTTCTCAACCCCCTTTGCCGCCGCCACCACCAGCATCATCTTCTGTGAGGCTGTAGCTATCTATGGCATCATCATGGCAATTGTCATCAGCAACATGGCTGAGGTATGGAGGACCAGGGTGGGTTGGGCATCCATTCCAGTGTGTTATATACATTGCTTGGGAAAGGGAGAAGGGTGCAGAGGGTGGTTTCTGATTACTTTCTGTGCCTCCCTCAGCCTTTCAGTGCCACTGACCCCAAAGCCATTGGCCATCGAAACTATCATGCAGGTAGGTTGGTGTGTAAAGGCAAAAACTAGGGTACGTGCATTTTCCTTCCCGCCTGTAGTTGAGGCTCCCCATTTTGATACTGTCACCTACTTTGGCCTGCTTGGCACAGTTGGGCTAGTATTGGCCTCAACACTCCCTTTCTGTGCCCCCAGGCTACTCCATGTTTGGAGCCGGCCTCACAGTGGGCTTGTCTAACCTCTTCTGTGGAGTCTGCGTGGGCATTGTGGGCAGTGGAGCCGCCCTGGCCGATGCACAGAACCCCAGCCTCTTTGTGAAGATTCTCATCGTGGAGATCTTTGGCAGTGCCATCGGACTCTTTGGGGTCATCGTTGCAATCCTTCAGGTGCCGAATCTGGGGGAGCCTCTATCCATGTCCCTAACCCAGCTTCACCCTCCTCCCAGAGGAGCTGCTGCAGTGCCCTCTTCTCCGCCTGTAACCGTAGACCCCCTGAACAGTCCATCACCTCATTCCCATTTTCTGGTTTCCCCCTTCGGAAGCTTTCAATTTAATTTTGTTTTTAACCTGGAAATACTGATACTGTTCTGTTTTCCCTGTTGCTTTGTGTCTGTATGTTTCATTTCATCTCGTTTTGTTCTGTTATTTTGTCCCTGTGGGTTGGGACCTTGTCTGTTCACATCAGTCTGTCCTAATGTGTTTGTGTTTAGCAGGGCCTGTGCGTATCCGTGTTGTCAGACAGCGTGTCTGACTTGTGTGTCTTACCTGTCTGACCGTGTGTGAGTTTGTGGCTAAGGATCAGCCTGAGGGTCTGAGAGTGACTGTGGGTACCTGACTGGGTTGATTCTTGGGGACTGGCACTGTCCATATGCCACTTCCTTCCATCTTTCTGTCCCACAGCCTAACTGCGGTTGTCTCACTGTCCCTGCTCATCTGTGTGTGTCTGGCATAGCATATCCATTCTGGTTCAGTCGTCCATCTGCTGTCATCTGTCCATCCCACCATGTCCATCTGTCCATGACTTCGTTAGGTCTGATCTTTTGTCACTTGTCACCATCTTGCCTATTCCTCTGTCTCTGATTTCTCCTGTTTTTATTTCTTTATTTTTTTTGCAGACCTCCAGAGTGAAGATGGGTGACTAGGTGATCCGTGTGGGTGGGGCCGTGCCCCACTCTTATTTATTTGTGGTTTTCCTGGGACAGCTGGAGCTGTGTCCCTTTAATGGGGCCTGGTGTTCTGGGCCCTCCCTGCACTCACTTCTCGCTGCCCGTCCACGTGGAGGCACTGCCTGACCGGACCCTCTGTGGGGAGTGGGCTGCTGATGACTGTGCAGCTGTGCACCTGTGTCCCGCCTCCACCCCCACCCTGTCTTTGCAATGTTTGTGAAATAAATGTGGTATTCGTCTGGGTCAGTGTTGCTTCTGTTGCCCTCCTTCACCGCCTTCCACCTAGGGGTCAACAGGCCTGTAGGCCTCAACCTCATGCCAGCCTCTTGCCACTCATACATACTGTTTCTGCTCTGGACAGAGCTGGCCCCTG